TTTTTTTTTTTTTTTTTTTAGGAAGGGTCTTGCTATGTATTTCAGGCTGACCTTGCATTTACTGTGTAGCCCAGGCTGACTTTGAACTCATGGCAGTACTCCCTCAGCCTCCCAAGTGCTAGGATCATAGGTGTGCGCCACCATGTCCAGCAGTATATGGATGTTTAATGAAAGATAAATTGCCAAAAGTGAACATTTTGGTCAGAAATTATACAGTTTGAAACTTGGGTTGGATCTTTCTACCTTTCTAAAAAATTAACATTTCTATATGAAATATTACATCTTTTCACTTTTCCTTAACTGTAGTGGGAATGTTCCTTTCGTTGTTGTGGGGTATCCTGATAACTGCTATCTTTTTTGGTTGGCTTTCAATAAGTTATGTTAAATCTTTCCCTTTGTGTTTTCCAGATATAGCAATGATGTAAGTTCTTTGCCTTTTTTGCTGGAGATCCTTACAGTGTTACCTGAAGAAGTACACAGTCGTTCATTAAGAATTGGAGCTAACCGGCGCACAGAAATTATAGAAGATTTGGCCTTTTACTCTAGTACAGTAGTGTCTCTATTGGTGAGTAAAGTTTTGTTGTTTTTTTGGGTTTTGGGTTTTTTTTTGCCTAGGAATAGAAACATAGCTGTTTGTCTTAGTTACTGTTTACTCGTTGCTGGGACAAATACCCGACACAAAATGAAGGAAGGAAAGGCTTATTTAGCTCACAGTTACTGGAGGGTTCAGTCCATATTCCGCTGGCTCCAAGGCAAATGACAGCAGTTCATGCGGCAGGAAACAATGAAGAGCGGAGGAGGAACAATATCCATCAAGCCTCTCTCTTCCTTATATGCTGACGGTGAAGACCGGCGCTCCACAGTGAAGATCGTAGCTCCTCCGAAGATTGGGACTTCTCCACAGAAGTGTGGCAGGGCCGGGGAAGCCTTCCTCAGTTCCTTTATGTACACTTTTTGTGTTGAGTCACTCTGGGGCGACCCATGGCCCTAGGATTGAACCAATTGCATCCCAGTGCCAACCAATAGCACCCCAGGTTGGGCATTTCTGCCAAGTTGAAACAATGTATCAACTACCACACTGTTATTTTGTGATTCAATTACATTATTATGAAAATAGCCTTCTTTGCAGAATTTGGCAGTGTGTATGACATTTTAATTTTTTATGTATTTGGTACAGGGTCTCACTTGCAGGTTGGACTCGTAGTGATCCTGTTTCAGCTTCCCCAGTGCTGGGATTACAGGCTACACCACCATACCCAGTTTCTTTCATTGGCCAGCTCAGCATACCTGGGGTCAGGCAGGTACAACATGTGGTACCGGGGATTGAACCTGGGTCCCTGTGCTTGCCAGGCAGGTGCTTAAACCACTGAGCTATCTCCCTGCCCCTGACGTTTTACTGTTATAAAAATGCTTTTAGAAACTGTACTTGGGTTTCTACATAATCATTGAGGGTAATGATATCCATTCTGTGAATGAAAAATGAACTTTATAGTTATATAGCTGTTAATTCAAAGTTTGTACGTAGGCTTTCTGATTATACACCACATGCTTTACTATTTAATGCTGTGAGCTGTTAGCTCTTGATGATCGTGCTAAAAGAAGTGTATATAAATATAAACTTAGTAAGGAAGTGTTTTTTTTTTTCTGTATTTAGGACAGGGTCTACAGGGTCTCACTACAGAGATTGGACTAGTAGTTTCTTCTGTTTTCAACCTCCCAAGTGCTGGGATTACAGGCATGCGCCACCACTCCAGTCTCAATTGCTGTCTCAGCACCAGCACAGCATGGGACACCACTCCAGGGAGCAAACCCCACTGTGGGGATCAAACCCCGCTGTACTTTTCAGGCACGTTAGTCCTCTGAGCTATCTGGCCGGCCCTCTGGAAGTGATTCTTTCATAGAGACAAGTTGACAGTTTGATAGGAAAGTGGTAGATCTTACTTGATCTTTGAGTCATATTAGTTATCCATTAGTTAATACCACATTTTAAAAAAGAAATATAATTAGGTCTTTTAATTTTTCTTTCTTAATGTATTTAATGTAGGGTTTACAGGATCTCACTATATAGATTAGACTTGTGATCCTCCTGTTTTCACCCTCCCAAGCCCTGGATTACAAGCATGTACCACCACACCCAGTCTCGATAATCAGCATCTGGGGGGGGGGGGTTGGGGGTTGTTAGCATGGCTTGTTGTGCCTGTGGTGCCAAGGATCTAACCTGGACCCCTGTGATAGGCACTAGTCCACTGAGCTATCTGGCCGGCCCTATAATTAGGTCTTTTTAGATTAGTTGGAATTTCTTTCTTTTTGAGTCTTGCTATGTAGTAGGCTTGGACTATATAGCTCAGGCTTACCTTGAACTCACTGATCCTCCTGCTTCAGCTTCCCAAGTGTTGCAATTACAGACATGTACCAACCTAGTTGTAATTTTTCATGGTATAGACCAGAAGTGGGTAAATTTATGATCCATGAGCTGATTTTTTTTTCAATTAAGTTTTATTGGGATATTTTTGAGCCTATTGCATATTATCCATGTCCATTATTTTGGACTGTCAGCAGAATTGAGTAGTTTTCACAGAAGCCATGTGGCCTTGACTACGGGTTCCTAAACCAGATAGTCTTAAATTTATCTAGTCTCTATTTTAGATTTTTTGGGTTTAGCTTAATTTTCTTAGTAAGTGGCTATAAAAGATACTTTATCAGGGATTTGTTTCAGTGCATCTGTGCTATCATAAAGCTTTTTGTTTGAAAAAAGATTTTGTTAAAAATTGTGTCTAGCTTGATATTAGAAAATCATTGGGAAATTATTCTGTTTTATTTTATTTTAATACAGGGTCTACAGGGTCTTACTACATAGATAGGACTCAGTGATTCTCCTGTTTTCAGCCTCCAAAGTGCTGGAATTATAGGCATGCTACCACACCCAGTGTCAGAGACTTGTCTTAACATGCCCCAGAGGTAGGGCTGGCAGGACACTGGGGATCGAACTTGGCCACTGCGCTCTGCCCTAAGCAGGCGATTTTAGTCTGCTGAGTTATCTGGCCACCCCGGACAATTATTCTTTTAAATATGTTTAAGGAATCATGTTACAGAGAATTAGAAAGGATACATAGTTGCATTCAAACCACTTGGAAATCATATCCTTTATTTTCATTTGTATTGTGTTGTTGGGGATTAAACCCACATTCTCAGTCATGCTGGACATTGAGCTATGTCCCTAGACTCCTTTCCCCATCCC